TACAGAAATATCAACTGGCTCATTACTGTATATCAATATAAAAGTGGACAAAAGTCAATTAAAGTAGTGGACAAAATTTCAGTTGTAAAGTATATAAGCCAGATTTTTATTAAACTTCTAAAAACAATATATATCTATCTATTGGTAAATCTAAAATATTATCTGAAGCTTTTCATTTTATTTTATGATCCATGGCTTTGCTTTACACAACAAATCCAAGACTGGTTGCTTATAGAGGGAAAAAAACCAAAACTGAACAAAATTGGTCAATCAGAAAACAAAACAAAAATCTGAACAAACATGTCAAAATTTATATAAAAAATAAATAAATGATTATTTTTGTATTTATTTTTTGCAAATAAAATAAATAAAACTATAATTATGACAAAATAGAATGGCAACTAAAAAGTCTGTAATAATAGGAGTGGTCTTGGAACCTGGAAAAAAGTCTATAGTAGTGGAAGTATGTTACAGCAAATGAGTTTTATTACAATTTTCCTATACTTTTGGCAAGGCCAACATCAACTGTCCATAATAATGTGAGGTCTATTATATTGAGCTTTTACTGTATTACTTCAATTATATACTGGAAAAATTACTACAAATTATTAATTAATAACAATTATAGATCTTAAAGTTATAATATACATTTTTTAACTGTTTTCACATGATTTTTAATGCTAAAATAATAAATAAATAAATCAGAATTTTTAATAAATACATTATCATCTGTTTAGCCATTTAATGTTATCAGTTGATCATCATCATATATTTATATCTTAACGATCAACTGATCAACAAATCAGTCCCAAAGTGATTACAATAAGTAGATTCAGTGCATTTTAATAGATTAAAGAAAAAATAAACAAACACTAAAATTCTTCTAAATAGAAATATATACGTATGAATTTTGATTTTATTGTAGACAATATAAGACACTAAAAACAGTTTTTCTGAAGGAAGTATTATTCATAAAAGATCACAAAACTCATGAATAAAGCAGTCTAAAACATAAAAAATAAACAATTACAAGATTTGCATAATTATTCTAGTTTATTCCCATCACAAGGGGGAAAATTATACCATTAGGAACATTTTTTCCTCTTATATTTTTTCACTATTTCAATGAAATAAAAGGGTAAATTTATATGATTATTTACAAATCTGAATTTGACAACATTGTGTACCTTTTACTAAAATATTATAATCAGTATACTGATTATTATATTTAACTAATTTAAATATAAAGCTAATATTTTATTCAAATATATATATGTCATTAAATGTTTTCAGTTTTTCACTAAGTACTGTCCTAATATTAAGTTTCCAAACTTAATAGTTAGACAGTCATAGAATCATTTGATGTATATGATTTTATATGAAAGTTTTATATTTATTAAATTAATTGTATGGTTTAAGCAATGCTATGAAAAATAGAATTTATCATATCATTTAAAAATTAATGAAATGCTGAAGGTGGTATTAATGCAAGATTGATCTATACACTATCAACAATCAATTACAGTAAAACCTCTCCAGATGACCACCCCTTTACATAACCAGATTTTCTTAAAACAGAATGTTTATTCTATAGGATTCACTGTTTTTAATCCCTTTAAGCCAACCAATAACCATCTGGACTCAATCCTTTATGTGAAATACTCTCTTTGAAGTAACTAATTTCATCATTCTGGATGCGGTGATAAAATCGAAACAATGAGCATATACAATGGACAATGTTGGGCATGTTGAATTAGGTATAAAATTTCATCCAAATCTTCTTTTTTTCAACTTTAATGTCTCTTATTTTCGTTCAGTCCTACTGAGGATAATATACATAATTTGCTATTAATTAATTAAGTTAATATCATCAATAACAAGTCAGCCCATGCTTTTAATAAAAAGTAAAATACATCTGGATACAAGTCCAATTTTGCTTGCCATGTCCAATCACCAGGAACAACTATTTCCATTGCAAAGACAACCTTTCTTTAGAGGCTATGCCTCTGCACAAATATGTAAAACAGTTTAAAATGTCCACAGGTGACAATCCCAACAAAATTAAGAATATAATATTTCTTTGTAACAACAAGAACATCCCAATAAGAACAGCCCATGCTTTATTCTTATTGAGCTAATATAAAAAGCCAATAAATTTAATTTTCCTCTTAATAAAGATAGATAAAAAGGTAATTGATGACAAGAAATTTGGGTGACTTTTGGAATCCATTTGGCCTGAAAGAGATCTGTTTGATCAAACAAGAAATATTGAAGACATCATTTTACCATAAAAGTTAAAATACAAAAAAACTGTTGATATTTATGTAGCATTTGATGGCAGAAGTGACACCAGTTTTTTTGTATTGTCTTGGGTTGTATTGTATATAATGCAACCTCATGTATGCTACATTATAATTAAACTTCTTTTAACTTTAATATTGAAATTCTTGTCCTTATTTTTCACTCTGACTCTACAAAAAGAAATTACCATCTCAGATTACTTTAAATCAAACATTTAATCTGTATGCATTACATTTTCATGTACAGTACACAGAATTGTGTGTGATTATTGATAAATGAATTTTCTTGCAGTATAATGTTAATCAATACACAGTATTTTAAATAGTTTTTGCTGTATTGCCTATACCAGTCATGGCAAACCTGTGACACGAGTCATAGCATACGATGACCTACAGAGTATTAGGGTTTTATATATTACTAGCAGATAAGCTCAGCGTTGCTTGGGCAAAAAATAACAATAGCGAAGATTAAGATTATTACATTACAGCCAATCTTACCCGTTTTCACAGAATGCAAGAATTAGGTTCCCCTGTTTAGAGACTAATTAGAAAATTTTTAGATGGGTCTAAAATTATGTTTGATTTAACGCAAAAAACCGCATCTGAGCCTGTAAATCTTGCACATTGCTTTCTCTTAACACTTCCATTGTTGAAACCTTAATCCTGTCCCTTTTCCTGCCGGGAAGGATGATTAAAAAAATTCCTTGTTAGTGTTCATTCTCGTGACGTACCCTAACTGTGTACCAAATTTCAAGTTTCAACTCCTAACCATGCTGAAATGCTCGTATACACGTGTGCCATCTATCGTAAGATAAATGTACTATGCCAGAAACCTTTGCGGGAGTGTATTAAACAACTTCCCAAAGTTTCATGGCAATCGGATAAATGGTATAGTAATGCATGAAGGACAGACAGACATACATTCGTTTTTATATATATAGATAAAAAATATTTTGATAGATTTCAAAACTGTATATGTAGTGTGAAAGCAGGGTCTTAAAGTTTTCATGAAAACTTTTAATTATGAACCTCAGATAAAAATATCATCATTAAACAAACAGTAGCAGACTTCCAATAAACAAAATATTTGTTGCCATTATAATTACATTATTATTTTCTTTTCATTTATGTATAGTTTATTGTTATTTTTCTGATATAGAATAAAAAAATTAAATGAAATCAGTAAACATTTCTTGTTATTTTTCAATTAATGAATTTAATTATTTTTAATTATTATTTTTACTAAATTTTGAATTCAATTTTTTGATCTACCTTTGGAAAAAGATTTGCCATCACTGGCCTATACAATAGCCCTCACTGTTACACTACATAGGAGATATTGTATTTCATATACTATATAATACTACATATTTCTACTGGACTTAGTACTATATACAGTACTCTGTATCATATTTTTCTCACCCATTTTGACAAGACCACCCTTTGAGATGAAAGTTTTTCGAAGTTTTGGGAGTGGTCATATTAACGAGGTTTTACTGTATATAACTTTAAATTATAATAATTATAACCAGAACTATTAGTAAGAATTCACTCTCTAGCAATGAATTAAAATAATGAAAGCTTTATTCAAATTAAATAAAATCAGTTAAATTTTATTTAACTATTTTCATTTATTTATTTATTCTAATTCAATTACTTGCCAAAAATTTCCTATTTTATTCCTACATGTTCTATAATATTTACTAAGAATGTTTCAAGTTTAAAAAAACTTTAAACTGATTAAAACCATAAAATTGATTTCTAAAAATATCTAATATTCTCTTCCTAGACACTAGTATACATGGGAATTCAAATATTGTTTATTAATTTGTGAAATAATACAAGAATCTGAAAATAATAGAACAAATTGTATTAACCAGATGAAAGTAAATAAAGAATGGAACTGGAATCATTCTAAAATTTCATGTTTATATTATATGTAATGTTAATCCACTTTAATAGTTCATTCAAATAATTATGAATATATATANCTTACTTATTTATTTTGCTTCTTTTGCCTGCCTGTTATCCTGTTATATGTTTAACTTTATATAAAATCTGAAAATTCTCTTTCATTTCTAAAAGTAACAAGTATGATAATTAATACATTTAACTTAAATAATTAATCCCTTTCATCCTTCTTTTAAATTAAAGACTAATTTTTTTCCTATCTTCAAGATTATTACTGCACTTTTACTTTAAGGCTAACTCAAACTACTTAGGAAAGTTAATTACAAATTTAAAATAATTATGCCTTTCTCTTCATGAATGTTTTTTTTTTTCATTTCTCTAAACAATTCTTAACTGTATTTGTTATATAGGTTTATAACCTTAGATTTACAGTATTAATTTTAAATGGATATAATATACAACATTTATAAATGTATAAAACTTTAATGCACATATTATTATTGCAGAAAATGACACTTTGATACATCACCTATACAATTTTGTTCCCATAATTTTTATTTAAATATCGTATAAGATATGAAATTTTAACTAGTGTACAGTGTTTACATGGACTTGTAACAATTTTTATTTCAATGATTGAATAATTTTCTTTTTTTTTCTGTTTAATATCTGTAGAGAATGGAATTAATCCTTCCTTTATTGATATAAATAAATAATTCCTCGCCGATTAAGGATTACATTCCATATTGATAACAACTGTATATAGACATGCAATACAGGCTAACTGTACCGATTAATAATTTTGAACAGGTATCGTCTACTGCTGTGTAATTCTACTGTATTTAAGACAAGACATTTTCCTTTTTTTTTTTCCTTAGATCAAAACATCAATGCAAGATAATTATTTTTTCTAATTTGATGTTGCAAACTTGGCAGAATTTCTTTTTTCTTTTTATTTAAAATTTTTAATAAAGCAAGAGAAATGGCATAAAAAGTATTTATAAATTGTCATGTTCAGATAGAGAGTTTATATTTTTTAATATTTAAAAATGGTCACAAAATTTTTCCAAGTTGTCAATTTATCACAAGATGGCAAAATTTTCTTATTTTTCCCAATAAAATACATGCATAAAAAGCAGCAATTAATGAATTAACAAAGCCAATTTCGTCTTTAATTTTTTTAAAATTTTAACTTCTGTGCAGATGTGGGAATTTTATACAAATGGATACAATTTTGCAATTTTTATGCACATTATACAATTTTGTCTGAATTATTTTTTTGGTTAATAATTAATTAATTAATATTGTTAAATTTGTAAACCTTGGCTTCAGTGTAATAATTTCATTTGGACAAATATAAAATTCATACAATTTCAAATAAGGAATGAAAATGATGCACCCACAGAAAATAAGAAATTTTCTTTTTGTCCAGACAAATCAGATGCATAACTAATAGTTTTTACTTTGCCATTTGCATCTTGATTACCCAAAGGGTAATTTATCCTTAAGCTAAATTAAAACTAAAATAAACATAACAAAATACACATATTTTAAAGAAAATAGTCTGGTGTGCGTCTAGTAACATGTGGTTCCCCTCGCCTTGGTGCAGGATCAAATTGTAGGCTGAAAGAGAATAATAAAAACGAGATCATTAAAAAATAGTTAACTTTTTTTTTAAATAATTTTTTAATGTAATTTTATATAATATTCTTGAAAAATATGACAAGAAAATTAATTTAGGAAATGTTAAAAATATTATTAGTTATGTCAAATGAGTTAAACCCAGATCAATCTTTAATGTTGGATGCTAGGTTTTATTTGACTTTTTTTGTGTATAAACATATCTTATACACAGAAAGAAATTATTATTAACGATAGCAAGTCTGCTGCTTGCTATCATTAATAATATTTAGTCTAATAAATAGCTTTTAATAGCAAAATTATATAATTTGATTAAGATAATCAAAACATCATTACAGTTACTTGTATCATTTCTGTGCTCCTACTGTGTTTCAAGGCTTAAAAAAGTAGGACTTTCTGGAGAAAAATTACTATAAAAGGACAAATTTAAAAATAGCCAAAATCATAACCCAAACAAGGATGTTTGATAAAATATCATGACAAAATCTACAATATACAGTAAATCCTCATTTATACAGTAAAACCCACATTTTTACTGTATATTTGAATAAAACAGGAAAACTCACATTCCTAGACTCAGTTGAGTCTAGGAATGTGAGTTTTCCTGTTTTATTGGGATAAATATTACCTTATGACACTTCTATATTGGCCACTTAAGCAAAAAGGGCACCAAGTGTGAGACCTGTAAGGCCCCTGGGTCTAAATTAATAATTTATTAATTATGTTAAATATTGTCACCAAATATTACTTCATTTTTGGTGAGAAAAATAATGTTTTAACGTGGGAAAAGGCAGATAACAGATGTTACTTCCTTTCACAGAAGTTAGAACATCCTCTGACTTTCCCTTATCTGGTTAAAATCCCGCTCAGATGGGAAATGTTTACCCCTCATTCATTCCCCTTTCATCCGTTCTCATGAAAGAGTTACTGGCCGATGATTGGTCGAAAATCAGCAGATATAGAGGGAATTTGTCAGAATTCGGGGAGTTCATCGACAGACATAGAGAGTGTCCGAACTCCATACATTTTCCTCCTGATGACCAACGTCCTTAGACGAGTCACATACAGAATAATTCCAGAGTTAGCACTTAGAAAATATACTTGGATTTTGTGCACATATTGATCTCCCATGGAAAGAAGTAAATGAACTTTATCTCCAAGGTGTCCCTTGCCTACAGAGAAGAAGACGAACGACAACTAAAACAGGTTGTATGTTTTATAACGATTTTGTGAGCTCTCTCTCTCGATCGCGTATCGGGTATAGTACAAGTCCCTGCCTATATAGTGTATCTTAATTGTCATATTATTATCCCTCGTTCCTCGATATTTGTATTAGTTTTACTTATAGAATCATTAAATTTACTTTTGTTTGTTTTATAATTAAAATGTCTCTTAATTTTGTATCCGAATCAGATCTCGTACGCGTGTTAATCCGCGTATAATAAGATTGATTAACTGGTGTCACAGGAATCCTGACGTAGATCCGAATCTCACAATTAGGATCGTTTATAACAGCCCTCCTATAAAAAGTAAGAGAACCGATCTCACGATCACGTGCCCGTATGTGGCGTACCTCTGATTATGTCCCCGGCTATCTCAAGACAGCCCATATTATTTGTATAAAACTGTTTAAGTTTTAATATAGTGTGTCCCAAAAGTATAAATAATCAACATTTTACTACTTTTCAGAATTGTTAGGAATTTAAGAGAAATGTAAATGATTTCATTTGTATATTCAAGTTATTTTACACTGATTTTTGTTAATTTTAAAATTAAAGATCATTATATTAATAATTTAACAACAAAAATATATTTTTGGCTGTCCCAAAAATATAGATAATAAATTAGAATTGTAACATTTCAAGCATAAGAAACTTAAAACTACAAAAATGATAATAAATAACGTCAAGTAACACTTTAACTTTGTTGTCAAGTAATAATTTGAATACTGAATCAAAACTTTTCAAAATGCCACATGGGATAGAGTTTAGTATGGAAGAAATTGCAAGAATATGGAAATTAAAAGCAGAGACTATTGTGTCAAGGAAATTGCTGTTTTAATGAACAAATATACTCTGGAATTTATAAAATTTTAGGAAAATCATCAATACCTTCTAAACATCAATCAGGAAGACCCAAAATCACATCTCAAAGGGATGATAATCAAATTGTGTGCCTTGCATCACAACAAGATAAATCAGTTCATCAAATTTTGTTTGAAAGTGAATTAAAAATATCAAAAGCACTGTTCATTGAAGAAGTTCAGCAGTTCCACATATAAAATTTGTTGCCATAATGAAAAAAACCACAACTAACAAAACAACACAAATTGACAAGAATGCAGTGGGCTAAAAATCACATGCTGTGGAATGACCAATGGCTCTCAGTTCTTTTCAGTAATGAAAAGAAATTTAATTTGGATAGCCTAATTACTGGCATGAAATTAGGAAAGGTGAGTGCAGTTTTTCAGCACGCAAAAGGGTGGGTGGTGGTTCTGTAATGGTGTGGGGTTGCTTTGGATTTAATGGTTTATCAAATTTAGTAATTTTAACTGATAGACAGACATCTAAAAATTATCAAGAAACCCTAAAAAAAGAATTTAATACCTATTGGAGAAAAAATTGGAGGACCTGTTGGAAAATCAACAATGCCAGTATTCATTGTTCACATTCAACAGCTAAGTAGCCAGCAAGAAGCCCGGACATAAATCCAATTGAGAACTTGTGGGTGTTTTCTAGAAAAATGTATGCTAATAATAGGCATTTTATGACAATTTCAGAGCTTAAGAAATCATTGCGTGCTGGTTTCAAATGGATACAGAAATCTTACAATTTAATTAAATCAATGCTTAATCACATTTTTGAAGTCATTAAACATAATGGCAGTTCTATTTCATATTACAACAATTTTCATCAATTTATATTATGAACTCTTGCTCAAAGTTTAAATTTATCTATATTTTTGGGACATCACAAAACAAGTATTTTGTGTTTAACACTTTATGTAACTGTCAAATATTGTAAAAACAATTATATAACATTGTATTATGATATAAATAAACAATAACAACCACTCACATTGTTAAGAAATACTTAATCTATGTGTTTTTATTTTTTAAAAATATTATCTATATTTTTGGGACACACTGTAATAGAATTTCAGAGGTGTCTACTTAAGTAAAATGACCAAGAAGTGAGGTTTTACTGTATTTATTTGACATATCATCTTATTAACAAAGAATGGAACAATAGAGTTAAACTTAGTACATATAACAGAATCCTAATTATTCAAGGTTTTGCATTATCTGAAGCAAACCCTGTAATATACTACTCTCCTTATAAAAGCTTTATCTCAACTATACCAAGTGATTGGCTGATGCAAAGGGCACATCTACACATTTGGTATTTGCCATTTTCCAATTCTTGATGGTAAATTGTACCAAATCAAAAGAGAAAAATATTTGCCTCCATGCAACAAGCAAAAATCATTTCCTCATGATTTTCACCTTTCAAACTAAACAAGTTGTATTATGTTTTTCAAATACAGAAAAACCATAGACTTCATAAATAATAGTTTTGCTTTAACAATTAATTGGTGTAACACCTGATTAACAAATTTTTTAATTCATTAATTGGACATTTATATTTTCATTTTAATTGTATATAGTATTGAATAATAAAGTTTATTCAATATCTAATTATTCATTAGTTTTGTGTAATTAAAAAGAATTTTAGCATATGATTCATAATGTAATTTTTTAATACTAACCAATTATAGTTTTTTGTACATTGTTTTTAATCAAATTTTATTTTGTTTAATTTTACTTCATTAAAGATTTTTTTTTTTGACAAATTTTGAATACATCCAGTAATATTCTAACCCAATTAATACTCTATTTTTCTAAGTTGGCACCTACTATAAACAAATGCCTTGTAGATTGCCAGGTTGTTCAAGGTTTCTTTTTGTGTGTAAATCTAATAAATAGCTGTTTAGTTAACAAGCAATAAATAAGTTTTATTTTTATGTATGGTAGTTTTTTGCATTATCTAGTAGTTTACAATATATATATGCACACCCTGCAGTATACCAGCTCTTTCATTATGAGACAACGAGAAATCAAGAGCTGGTTGTCTGCTGGACAACTAGCAGATATTCTTAATTTCTAATCCTGTCTATGCATTCAGGAAAATGGAAATGTTTTTGAACATCATTTGCAAAAAGAGAAAACTGTGAGACATGCATATTTATTTTATTACATAATATGCAATAAAAAATGGCAGTTCCCATTTAAGAAAATGAAGCTGACTCCCTTTTCACCAATTGTAGTGTCATTTACAAAGAAACCAATTATGCCATTCTGTGGCCCGCTTAAAGTATAACATTTCTCATTTAATTAATTTTTTGTAAGATGCATATTTTTTAAGTTTTAAGTTATTAAGATGCACATTTCAATGGACTGATTAAAATGATCTACCGTGAATATCTCAATACAAAATGCACTTATGACCTCTGACTTCAGTTTCATTTTAATCAGGACTGAATTGAATTTCTTGTGTATTTTGGCATAAGAACCATCTGGGTCATATTGTTTCATCTAATTATGAAAAGCTTCAGCAAGATAATTATTGGCATACAGTGCCAATACTATTAAACTAAAATTTATTTTAAAAAGTTGATTTAAAATACCAATAATAGGTATAAATAAGTATTTAAAAGCATATTAATTAGAAACAACACACACAATAGATCTACTTTTATTTTCTATAAAATATAACCTATTTAACAAAGATAAGATTATTTTAGACACATTTCCAGAAAAAAGTATCCAGAATAAGTAAATAAAATATTGATAACGTTATCAGTATATTTTGATACACGACTAAATTATATTAAAAAAAAACTATAAAAAATTGGCATTAATGTAGTTTTTCAATAATAAACAATATCTGAAAACCTGCTATTACTTCAACAATCAAACCAAA